TTTAAGAAGTGTTGATTGTATGTTTTGACTTGTCTCTATGTTACCCATCAATTTGGGGGAATGAATTGTTACTTCTCTTTAGTAACAGTTATCCCTTGTAAATATTAACCATTCAGCTCTGTTTTTTACTGGTTGAAATGAAAAGTTTACTGGTTGTGGGTTTTTTTTGTTTTTGTTTTTGTTTTTTAAGAGGGGGGAGTTGTTTTTGGTTTGGTTTGGTTTGGTTGGTTTTTAGGGATGTGCTCTCGCTATATAACCCAGGCTGGCCTTGAACCTGTTGTAGTTCTCTTACATTAGCCTCCTGAGTGCTGGAATTATGGTCATATATTGGCTGCTAGTTAGTTCTTAATCATAAAAACTAAGAGAGTCAACATACCTCATTTTTTACCTTTTCTGCCCCATTTGCACATACGAGTTTCCTCAGTGTCCTGTATGAAATGCTCATGTCTCAGGTTATAGACATGTTTAGATTTGCATTGTATTCAGAGCTAAATAAAAAAGTTAATTCTCACATGCTGCCTTTGCTGTGCATTTTCCTCCTGCATTCATGCCGCTTTAAGTTTTTCACTGTTTATCATTAGTTTATGTCTTCCTGGCTAGAAAATAAGTTCTATGAAATAGGAATTACTTTGTTTATTACTGTAGCTCCAGGGCTTGAGATAGTACTTGAATATATAGGAGCTTAATAAATACTTGTTGAGTGAAAGAATTTGATATATTCCTGTGCCTTCAATTTAAGCAGTGGCAAGTAATAGAGAAATTGAGCTTACATAGAATGAACAGAATCTTTTGTTCCATAAGCATTAATAAAGGATTTTGAGTTTCATTTTGATTGAATACATTTCAGCCAACATTCCCACATTTTCTTAGGAGTAGACAGCATAGTAGGCAATAGGATGGAAAAAATGCATTGCATATATACTAGTGTTCAGGGGTCGTACCCAGAAAGTGCACATAATGAAACAATACTGAATTATAAGTGCTGTGGCCTAGGTATAAAGAAAATACTCTGCCAGCACAAAAAAAAGGGGTCTTCATTTGTTTGAGAAAATGAAATATTCTTGGTTAAAAATGGTTTGAAGGTAAGTGGCTAGTAATAATTCCCCAAAGTCACATCAGTTCTTCCTATCTCTAGATGTTTGCTTTTTATTTCCATCTTGTCATTAGAAAACAAATGAGAATTTTCGTCTACTCTAGAATACCAGCTTAGAAAGTTCAGGTATTTAAAAATTAATCACTGTCTTTCTAATAACTGTCTTTTGGTAGTTCCATTTTCCTCTTATTCTTGCAGACATGGCCATATGCCTTTCACACATGTGGAGCTTGATGGAATGGCCTCAGAACTGCCCCATGTGTAACGATGCAGAGATACAGTTGTATATAAATTGAGGGCCATTTATCATTTTTTGTAAGTCAAAGTTTCTACTTAAGTTTCACATGCATCATTTCAGAAAAGTTATAATATAGTACAACAAAATCAGGATATAAATCGAACCTGAAGAAATCTGTGTTTATTTGTCTTAGACTTACTGACCTTATTCCATTCTCTCTCCAGCTTACATAGATTGCTTGAATTAGACTTTTAATAGTCTGTGTAACTTGATTCAGAAAATGTAGCCCTTTCATATTCATGGTTATTCATGGTTATATAATAGCTAAACTAGTTCAGTGGAATGTGCTTTAAGAATCGAGTCACTGAATCTTAGGCCACTTGACAAGGGTTTTTTGGGGGGAGGGTGAATGAAGCATAAATTTATTTTTTATTTCATTGATATGTAAGTTTGAAACCTTTTGTTTCTTTTCAGTTTTCTCTGTTTTGGTTAAACTTACTAAGGATTCCTTTATGGTACAAAGTTATTTGAATCTATACTAATCTGTTGGTTGTCCTCAGCAGTTCCCTTTGATGTAAAGAAGCCATCCCATTGTGGGCTTAGCATTTTCCACTTAACATTATATTTATATCTAGACAGTGTTAAAGACATAAATGAATATATATGTCCTTTTCTGTATAGCATATATTTTTGGCATAGATTTGTGCGCTTACAAAGTTACTACTATGATTATTTGTGTACATTATTTCATTCTTTAATTGGAGATAATGTAACAAAATAGGCACCAGTCACTGGGCTATTGATTTGTGCTGGACTTGGCTTGCTTATATATATTAATTTCTGAAACTTGTACATTTAGAAGTTTGTTTCTGATTGTTGACCATGACATGTAAGAAATAATTATTGATTTAATTATTTATTTGTATTTTAGAGACGGGCCTACAGGTTGTTCAGGGTCTCACTACTAGATCTGACTCTAGTGATCCACCTGTTTACAGCCTCCCAAGAGCTGGGATTACAGGCCTCTGCACCACCGCGCCCAGTCTCAATTGCCTTCTCAGCCCCATCCCCAGGGGGGCGGGGCTGGCAGCAGGCCCTGGGATTGAACCACCGGCCCCTGTGCATGTTTGCTGGTGCTTTAATCTGCTGAGCTATTAGGTCAGCCCTAAGAAATAGTATTTGTTTAAAAATTATA